CAGAGGTGTCTGGATCAGAGATGCGTGCCTCGGGAGCTGGGACACCCTGGGCCAGCGGTGGAGCTGGCGCTCGTGGAGAGGGGCCTTCCCCCTGGGCCTCTGGCTCCCCCAGCCTCAAACATCTGCCTCAGCTGCCTGAAATGGTGTCACGGACCCCGTCCCACTTTTGAGCACTTGCTGTATACCAGACTCTTATGGACACGAGTCATCGATCTTAAAGGCTTGTGAAGACCCCTGTCTCCATAAGAGAAAGTGAGGGCTGCTGAGGGTTAGTTCCTATTAATGTCACCGTTATCAGGTATTAATTACAAGGTGATCCATCCAAGCTCACACTCTAATCAGCGTTAATCCATGTCACAATGATGACCTCTGGCCCCTTTGCACCCCCAGCCTGCTCCCGGCACCCCAGCCTGGGGGTTGCAGAAATTCTAGCCCGCCTCCCCAACTTCCAAACCCCGCTCTGAGCACAGCCTGTACTTCCCTTGGGCTGATCCCGTGTGATGAAATGAGATTCCGTGAGTCGCCCAGATCTGCAGCATCTTTACCTCCAGTGAGGTCTGCTGAGGAGGGCCCAGTCGCCTTTGGGGAGGCCGAGATGCTAAGGCCTTTCTCCTCTCCTGCCTGAAATGTTGGCTCTGGGCCGAGGCTGTCTGGTACCCCTCAGTAGGAGGCCGCCCCCTCTGGCTCGGTCATCAGCATGGTGGCCTCTCCCCTGTGGTGTGTGCGCCTCAGGCCTCCCCCTGCGGGCCCTCAAGGACTTCCCTTCTTCCCTCTGTCCCTCACCCTCATGCCCCATCCCACCTGTAACCTTTTAGTAGCAGGAACCACCCTCGATATTCCCTCCTCACTTGTCCCAAGTCGGGCTCATCCCCACCAGACCCCTTGTGGTCTCGCCCTGCACCGTCCACCCTGCAGCCACTGGCCACATGTGCTTACTGAGCACTTGAAATGTGACTAATGCAAATCGAGATGTGCTCTGAGTGTTAAGCTACGCTCCAGTTTTAAGACTTAATACAGAAAAGAATGCAAAATACATCATGAATAATTTTTTATATCTGTTATCTGTTCAAGTGATAATCTTTTAGATATATTGGGTTAAACATAGCTTATTATTCACATTAGTTTTACTTATGTTTTCTTTCATTTTATGTGGCTACTAGAAAGTTTAAAATCAGAGGGGAAAGCTCGGACTTAATGTCCGCAGCTGTGTCTCATGGATGAGAGGGGACGGGCCAGAGGTCCTTCACTCTGCCTTCCTGCTAATTCTCTCTTGGAGCATCTACACTGGAACCTACACTACCCAACCAGCATGCATTTCCTTCCCAAATCTCACTTGGGTCCATATGAGAAATTCATGTTTTTCCCCTATTGGTATAACCTGGACCTTATTTCCTGTGGGACCACCTGGAGGGACACTCACCCACACAGAGGTGTAAATGACTGACAAAAGTGGCCCCCTCACTGGGAGGGACCCCAGTAGGGGTCCCAGGTCTGGATGACACCCAGCTCTTCCCAGCCTAGCCCAGCAGCGCACGCTTACTCTCTCTGGTCCAAGGTCCCATGCACACAGCGCATCCTGCATTCAACGGATAAAAGGACCATGTGAAGACAAGGAAGAAAACAGAAACAACACCTCCCGGGATTCTGGAGCTCTGTCCATACCACCAGAACTCTGCCCACGTCTCCTGGCGTGCCCATCTGTGTTTGTCATCCCATACTCTTGGACAACGAGGGAGACGGAAATGGGTCTGTCCTCAAACTGCCTTCAGTGATGGCCAGGCCGGTCAGTGGGGGATAAGATGAAGCACGAAGTTCAACTCAAGAACCATCAGAGAGGTTCCAGGGGCAGGGATGCTGAGGGGCACAGACCTGGAGGAAGCTGAGACCAGGGAACCTCAGCAACAAAAGTCTAGCACCTAGCCCTCCAGGACAAGTCCAGCAGCTCCACCAGCCAGAAGGAAGGAGGGCAGCAGAGCAGTGGAGTCGGGTCAGGCAAGGCCTTGAAGGCCGTACTCAGAAGACTGGACTTTATCTGAGAGGCAACTGAGGGTTTCTGAGCAAAGCAATGACATGCTGAGAGCCGAGTGGAGGCTGGGGCTCCTTTTTTTTCTAAACGGCTACACCTGGAGATGCTGGTGGACAGGGAGAGCCTGTCAGTGACTCACCTGGATGCCCAGGAGCAAGTGGGTGGGTAATGCTTGTCAGTGACAACAGTAAAGCCAAGCTCCTCCAGCACTTGGTACACCAGGCAGTTCGACATTTATGACCTTATTTAATCTGTACAGCTATGCAGGAAGGTGAGCACTGAGCAGTTGAGGACTGTTGCATTTCTTGAATGAATGAATGTTGGTCTAAATTCTAACCCCCAGTCCTTACATTATGCATTGAATGCATTGGGCTAAATTGCACTGAATAATCAGTCTGCTGGGTTTGATTCTGAATTGAGGCCCCCTCTTGAGGTGTACAGAAGCCTTGTTGGATATGAGTTCATGGAGCTCCTGTAATACAGGATGCTAAGGAGAAGGGGGGATGCAGCTGGGGGACAGGACACGGGGCCCTGGCCCTGTGGGGAGAGACCTGGCCCAACAGCCTCAAGTCTATCCCTGCAAGCGCCCCTCCACACCTCTCCTGATCCCCACAGCAAGCCCTCTCCCGCTGGCACCAGCCTCTCTCCCAGTCCTGGAATTAATAAAGACTGAGCAGACTGCGGTTTGAAAGTCTGAAAGCCGGTTCCTGCCCACGTCACTGCTCCGAGAGAAATGGGGCCCAGCTTCTCCCCAGCACCCCCTTCCTCCCCCCTCCCTGGGAGGGGGCAGGCACGCAGATGCACCCCACCCCTCCGCCTCCCCTCCCTTCCGCCAGCAGGCACAAGTCAGGCCCTGAGCCTCAGACCCTAACCCTGAGCACCGCCACCCGCACCAACAAGGGCTGGCTTGGGCTCATAATCTCCATGAACCACCCCCAGATCACCACCAAATAACACATATAGGAAGTAAGAGCTGTACACTTGCTGTGCACGCACAGCTTCAAGACAGTTCTGCTAGCATGCGTGCCCTTCCAAACTCTTGGAGCAGCTGCCGCCTGAGACCAGGGAGAGGAAGGGAAGGTCCAGGGTCCCAAGGTGACCCAGCATAGAGCCAAGCCTAATACCTACACAGGAGTGGTTCTTGCAGAACTAATGTAGTTACGGTAGCACTATAGGACTAGGACTAGTGTACAGAGCATTTTGGATCTGCAGACACAGTACAGAAATATATGACCACATCTTATCCATCTCTGCAATAACCTCCTAGGCGGGAATATTTATCACCATTTGACAGACGAGGAAGCTGAAGTTCTCTGGAGAGGTTAACCTGCTAGAAAGTGCTAGAACAAGAATTTAGTCCTAGGTCCTACCGAGTCCAGTGCCTGGCCTTTGGCAACTGCACTCCGGGCTGCCCCTGCAGGCCCTGCAGGCTGCTTCAGTGCTCCTGGCTGGAAGAGGGGTCCTTTAACCCCTTTCCTCTGACTTGCGGCTGTGTCCTCCTCTCATTCTCCATCTGGGCGCAGGGAAAAGCTCTCAGAACTCATGGCCTCGACTTTTCCCCCTCACAGGCTGTGATGAGGGCAGGTACCAGTTTCCCTCTCCTATCCTCTGGCTCCCAAATTTCTTCCCCACTTGGGTGAGGCGGCGTGACCCCCTCGTTTCCCACCCCACCCCATCCCCCAAATCCCTAGGGTCACCATACCGCACAGGCAGGCGGGAACAGCCCGAGTCCTTCTGGAAATGCTTGGTCCCTGTTGTTTTAGCTCAGGGCCGCCCCCTCCTGGCCACCAAAGGAATGTCAGCCCGGGGAGTTCTTCTGGGGCAGGAAGAGAACCGGCAGTCTGGGGGCTCCTGAGTCTGGTCTGGGTGCTAGGGATGCTCAGCATTGGGACAGGTGGGGGCCAAGTGATAGAGGGGGGCTGGGCCACCTATCAGTCTGGATGGGCTCCCCGGCCCCCTGGTTCTCTGCAGGGCACCTGGGGTCCAGCCTGACCTTCAGCACACACTGTGGCCTCCACAGGCCTGCATGGGGCTGCACCTCGATCCCTGACAGATGGAGCCCCTGTGATGTGTCAGAGTCTCCCACATGGCCCCAGATGCCCTGGGGAATGACACCAACAGAGTCTTAGCTCCCAGGCTATTCTGCCCACAGCCCCTTGGCCTCTGCAGCCATGGATCCCAGACTGACCCATCACACCCTCCCCAGCTTCAGGCAGGAGGCTGTGACCTTAGCCCACAAAGAATGGAGCCCTGCAGTGCCTCAGGGTCCCCCTTCCTTTCCCCAGGTGCCCCACGGGGCAGTGCCGACATGATCTCACCTTCCCGGCCATTCTGCCCACAGGCCCTCGACCTCTACGGATACTGGCCTGGACCCTGGACCCCAGATCCACCAACACCCCTGTCCCCAGCTTTGGGCAGGGCTGTCTCTTGCCAGGTCTGGGAGTGCTGAGGGAGTCTGGAGGCTGGGGTAAGGGCAGAGGCACGGGACAGCTGGCCTGTCTCCCCACACTGGGCCCGGGGCCCAGCCGCAGGGGCGGGGGCCTGGCCACTCAGGCCTTGGCTGGGGCCGGATCTTTGGCCGGGCTGCAGGGCCCTCCCTCCCGTTTCCTCTCCCGAGGGCTGTCCTGGCAGGGGCCCCCCTCGCACTTTCTGGCGGGGAACGGGGCCAGCAGTGAAAGAACAGCCACAGAGGGAAAGCAGGAGAGAGATGGGGGAAACTCGTGTGTGTGTGTGTGTGTGTGTGTGTGTGTGCGTGTGTGTGTGAGAGAGAGAGTATGTGTGTGTGTGTGTGTGCACGCACGTGTGTTTTAAGGAAAAAAGCGCACAGTCCAGTCCAGTCAGACCCAGCCTGGGAGGCTGTGAGCCGGCCTTTCGTAATTGCCCCCTCCCCGCGGCCCCCTCCCCGCGGCCCCCTCCCCGAGGCCTCCCCCTTCTCCCGCCCTCCCGCCCGCCCTCTCTCCCTCCCTCTTTCCCTCGCAGACCGACAAGGCAACAATTACGCTTTGGGGATAAAACGAGGCGCAGAGAGCGGGCTGGGGCATTTCTCCCCGAGATGGCGGGTCCGACAGCTGCAGCCCTGTGGCCCGGAGCCCTCCTGCTTCTGCTGTGTATCCTCCACCCCTCGCAGCCCGGAGGTAGGCCTCACCCTGTTCCCTGACGTGCCCGCAGCCCTCGGGCCTCCCGCTCAGGTGGCTGGACCGACGGACGGACGAGAGGAAGCTCTTCACCCCCAGCATCCTCCAGGGGGTCCCAGGCAGGAGCCCCTCAGCCACTGGATCCTTGGAACTGCCCCTCCCGGGAGCCAGCCGTGCTGAGCAGAAACCTGTCACACGATCGCCCCATGACTCAGGGTGGCCCCAAACCAGCACCGGCTTCTGCTGCCCCAAGAGGGCTGATGGGCCCTGCTCTATCCTGGGGGGTCTCCCGGTATGGGGGTCGCGAGCATGCTGGGGAAGGGCTGACGAGGTCCCGTCGGGTCTGTGGGCACCAGCAGTTTGCACACCTGTGGACCTGCCGGGTGTGCGCGTGTGCCCTGGGGGCAGGGGACCTGGGCTGGAGGACAGCTCAGCGGCAGTGAGCTCTCTGACCACAGGTTCCTTGTCCCCTGGGAAGTCAGGACGCGCTCGGAGCAAAGTCAGGGTTAAGCTGATTATAGGGTTGCGAGTTGGAAAGCTGCCGCTGTGGTCTGTCCCTGGTGAGGAGGGCTGGGAGCACGCGTGTAGGCGTGTGAGTGTGTATGTGTGAGTGTGTTACATGCTCTTGCACAGGTGTGCATGTTGTGTATATGCCCAGACGTGTCACCAAATAGAGGAGGAGGTTTCTGCGAGGGGATGAATGTTCACAGGTTCATCCTTGGACAGGTGTGTGTGTGTGTGTGTGTGTGTGTGTGTGTGTGTATGTGTGTGTGTTTGGGAGGAGGGGTGTTGTAGGTACGTGAAAGTGCCTGTTAGCATGTGTAAAAGTCTACCACCCAACAGGCATGTATACGTGGGAGATCTGGTGTCCAGGTGTGTCATTGGGTGTGGTTTGTCACTGTGCATGTGAGTGTGTGTGTATATGTGTGGTATGGAACACAAGCGAGTACAAGGAAGCTAGGGAAGGTATCCGTCTCCTGGCAGAGGGAGAGTGGTGAGTGGCAGGGGCTTGAGTGGACCTCGGGGCACTCCTGGACCACCTGGCCTTGGGTCCCGAGGGTGCCCCCCCCAGGGCTGCTAGCAGCTTGGGGGACCCTGGGAGTGGCCTACCAGGGGTCCCTGACGGTGCTCCTGGCCACGGGAAAAGAGAGGTGCAGGCAGCCTCACGAGCCTTTGGTGGGGTAGCCTGGGTGGGGTCTGGTTTCCGGGAGAGTCTTCCTCGCCATGAGAACCGGCCCTTCAGTGGCGGCCAGCGTGGGGAGGTGCACCGGTTGCAGCAGGGCCAGGCCGGACGGCTGGAGCAGGGGGCTGGGCAGGAGCAAGGGCTCCCTCCGTGAGATTGACCAGCTGGGCAGGACCACTGGGATCAGGGGCTTCCTGCAGAGGTCAACTCCTGGGTCTGGGCGAGGCCAAGGGATGGTGTGCACCCTCAGCTGGGGCCCATGGGGGGCAGCAAGACAATCCCAGAGGAGCAGCTGCACCCGTGCCCGAGAGTAGCAGCGCTGGTCCTGTCTGATCCTCCTCCCTGGAGTTTGGCCCCCGAACATCTGCCTTCCCAGAGAGAGCTCCCACCTAGAGCATGATGGTTAGTCCCCACAGGAGCCCTGGGAGTAGAGGATTTTTATCGACGCTTTTCTAATGGGGAGACTGAGGCTCAGACAGGCTAAGGCAGCCCCAGGGGGATTAGTACCAGCCAGCTCTCTGCCCTGGGCCAAAGATGAGTTGGCCAAAGATCCAGGTTCTGAGCAGCATTTGGGGAGGGGCAGGCTGGGGGCCAAGTACTCTGGGGTGGGCCTGCCCTAAGAAGAATGCATCCTCAATGACCGGGCTAAATGCTCCGTTGGTCCTGTTCTTTCTTTGCAAACATAACTCTCAGCTCTGTCCCAGGTGGTAGAGTAGCTGGGTCCAAATAAGGGGTGTGTGAATTGATGATGTGTTCTGGGGTTTGTGCCCAGAGCCTCCCAAAGGAAGTCTAGAGAGATGGGACGTGGGAGGGGCCCCCAACCCAAACACATATGCGCACACACGCACACACCTGCCTGGCTGTCCTGAGGGAACCCAGCTTCCCCCCACCCCAAGAAGATATTACCCTCATGCGTTCCCCAGTTCCAAAGAACCGTGTTGCCAGGGGAGACAAGGAAGGGGCATCCCGGGAAACCTCTGTGATGGTAAAAGTTGTTTAGACCCATTTAAGATGGGTCAAAAGTAGCTTTGAAGATCAGCTGCCACGAGAGAGAGAAATTACATCAGTTATAATTGGGACCAGCTGCCCCAAACCCCCAGAAATTTTATCATTTTGGTTTTGGGTGTTTGTTTGTTTTCTTATTTCGGAACTGAAGACGGTTTGCAACAGGAATTTTTCAGTCCTGGCTGCATAATTGGAGTTACCCGGGAACTTGAAACAATTCTGATGTGGGGTCTCACCCAAGAATTCTTGCTTTATTTGGTCTGGGGAGGGATCCAGACCTGTAGGTCTTGTAAAAAGCTGCCCAGGTGACTGAGGCGCCTCCGGGACCCTGGACCTTGGGGTTAGGGGTTGATCCTGCTCCAAGTTTGCTGGGGCCAAGGCAGGAGGGCAGACGTGTCCGGGGGAGGGAGGGGACAGAGTCAGTCACTGGAGGATTGTTTTTGAAAACACTTGGCGGCCTTTCTCCGTGCAAACGACAAACAGCTTCGTGTGGTCTTATCTGCGCCCCAGGCCAGCCCCCTGGACTTGGAACTGGCAAAGCCCCCTGCCAAGGCCTGCTGGCCTGCTGCTTGCTCCCAAACAGCCATCTCCCAGATCTTTGAACCCAGATCAAAGAATCTGGAACGCAGAATGCCCTGCGTGTGACTGGGGTCAGATGTGGTTCCTGGGCCAGGCACTTCATTTCTCTGACTCTTGGTTTCCCTGGCTGAAAAATGGGGAGAAACATCCCTGCCCTACTTACTGCCTAGGGCCAGTGGGAGGCTCCAGCAATGAACATTGCAAAAAAATAAATAAATAAAGTATCAAGTAAGAGGACTGTGGGAATGCAAATTTTAAAAACTGTATATTCTCTTATTCAGAATTTGCTATCTTGGACTGATCAACCCTTGTAATTCGTGCACGTTTATGAGGTTTAGTTTTCCCTCTTGCTACTCACGCCACGTTTTGTCCGGTGGGGAGGCAGCCCGTGTGTAAACAGAGATGCAGTAATGGAGGAAGCTGACAAGACTGGGAGAGGGGGTGGCCTAGAGGAGTCCCAGGAAATCCGGAAAGGCTTCCCGGAAGAAGTGACATTTGAGTTAGACCTTGAAAAAAGGTAAATGTTCGAGGAGCTTCTGTGGATGAGAGGTGGGCCTCAGTCTTTGGGGCTCTGGGAGGCAGAACTAGAGAGACAGAGAGGCAGATTCTATCTCAGTAGGAGGAAGATCTCTCTGCAGGTAGAGCAGACAGCATTGGGAGGTGGGAATTTGCCTGTCACTGGAGGCGTGCAAGCAGGAACACAATGGGATGTTTGCAGAAGGAATTTCAGCCCAGGCCAGAAGACAGTTACGATCCCTGAGAGTATAGGATCATGATTCTAAGATGCAAGAGACAAGTTCCACCCTGGGCTAGCCGGTGAAACAAGCCAAACCCACATAAAACAAGACAAGTATGCTCCAGGCCAACTGCTTTGGGCCAGATGAGCAGTGAGAACCACAGGCTCAGAGACGGCAGGGGGGAGAAGCTGAGCCCAGTCTTGGTGGAAGGGTAGGACTTGGATAGAGGAGAGGGCATTCCTGGCAGGAGGAACTTCTCAGGCCAAGGAGGGGAGGTGGGAAGGAGGATGCCCCTTCCCATGATGGGGCAGGAGAGGAGGCTGCTGCCTTTCGAAGGCCTTTGATCAACTACTGTCTTAGTCTATTCTCACCTCTCCTGCACTTGAAGAGAGGCCGGGCGTGGATCCTTTACACCCACTAAGCCTTCCCTATTTCCTCAGTGCAAAATGGGGATCAAAACCCCTGGCTCCCCAGGCCGTCATGGTTCAGGCACGGAGTTTGGCAAACACTGTTGGGATCTGAATCATAGGGGTGGAGAGTAGGGAAAAGAAAGAGCTTGGGACAGAAGAAGCAGAAGGAGCTGGCAGGCCCAGGAGGGGCCTGGCCACTGGTCAGGGAACAGAACCCCAGGAGAGGAAGTGGGGCTTCAGCCAGGCCAGCCCGAGATGGGGAGACCCTTAGGCTGGTTGGGGATGGAACAGGTCAGACCAGACCCACAGGCAACCTCCTTGCCTCCCCTCCACCTAACTCACCCATCCTTTATTTATTTTATTTGTTGTTATTTTTGCGGTACGCGGGACTCTCACTGCCGCGGCCTCTCCCATTGCGGAGCACAGGCCCTGGACGCGCAGGCCCAGCGGCCACGGCTCACGGGCCCAGCCGCTCCGCGGCATGCGGGATCCTCCCAGACTGGGGTATGAACCCGCATCCCCTGCATCGGCAGGCGGACTCCCAACCACTGCGCCACCAGGGAAGCCCCCACCCATCCTTTATTGGACACCTACTGTATACCTGGCCTTAGGCCATGTACTGTGCAGTGAAGTAGAAACAAAGTGTCACCTTTTTTTTAAGCGTTACCGAGTGCCAGGCCCAGGGTAGGACAAGTCTCTTGAACTCTTTGACAACTCGCAGCAACCTGGCAAGGCAGCAGTTATCAGCCCCACGTTGCTACAAAGGAAACTGAGGTTCAGAGAGGTTAAGTGACTTGCCTGAGGTCACACAGATGGTAAGAAGTGGCACAGCCAAGATTAGAGGCCAGATGGGTCTATCCTGAGCCCCTTGCTCCCTCCAACCACCATGTCGTTCCTGCAGTCTGCCCTGGAACAGAGGGTTAGAGAGAGAGAAAGGGGAGGAGGGAGAGAGGCCGAGGCAGAGAAAGGCCTGGAGCACAACAGGGCAAGGCACATTAGAGACAGAGCTCAGAGCTCGGAGCCGGAGGCCAGAGCCAGAGAAGGCATCAAAGGCCTGGGGCGGACCATGTGTGCACTTGGCAGCCGATGACAGGACCCAGGCGCTCATTCCCAGCAGGCCCAGCCTCCTGGGGCCACTGCCCTGAGCCCCTGAGGCTCTGAGCAGACTACTTGGACACTCCAGGCCTGGATTGCAGTGCCTGGGGGGCCTCAGGCCCGGGGGGGAGGTAGGGGGGTGGCGCCGGGACTTTGGCACGGGGTGGCCATGACAGCTTGGCATCCTCCACCCTGCTGGGCCATGGCTTAGGCTGACAGGGCCCTGGGGCCAGCAGGCCAGATGTCTGCTGGGCACACTGCAGAGCTGCCCGACACTGTCCCCCAACCCAGTCCGCGCCCCATTCGGCAGGGTGGTGCTGGGGCCCGGGCTGGGGCACCGGCAAGGCGGCTTGTCAAGGCTGAGGCCGTTCTGTGGCGGTGCAGTCGGGGCCTGGTGTGCACCAGGATTGTCTGTTGCCATGACTACGTGCAGGCTGGGTCTGGGGCCATCACAGCATTCCCCGGTGAGAGCTTCACTGGTCCGTGGGGACTGAACTCGTGATCCGGGCTGGGCAGACAGCCCCTGGACTGGCCAGTGAATTAGCTTTTCCTTCGGAAACTATTCACTTTGCTCATTCATGGTGTCCCCCTCTGGGCCCCGGCGCCTCCTTAGACAGCTCTGTGTCAGACGGCCAGAGCACCACCCAACCACTGCTGCCCGGTGGCTGAGGACGCAGACCTCATGCCGTCCTCTCAGCGTGGGAATGGCTGCACTTTTGTCGGCAGCAGCCACAATTCCTTACCGCTCACTGTCACAGTCCAGCCTGCCCTCACACAGCTCTGGCCCCCTCCCGTGCCGCTCAGGGCTGGAGAGGCTTGGCTGCCCAGCAAAAGGTGCTCAGACCCAGCCCCATGCCAGGCTCTCTCCAGGTAACGCAGTGCAAACCGTTATGCTCAGAGGAGTAGCCTGGCTTTGAATCCAGGCTCAATCTCTTTCCACCTGTGTGACCTCCCCCCCCTTGCACATCCCTTAACCTCTCTGAGCCTGACTTCACATCTGTTAACATGAAGATAATAACCCCTGCCCTTCCAGCCTCACCAGGCCATTTTGAGGAGCATGAATGAGAAAATGCTTTGTAAACATTATTTGCTTAGTCAACCTAAATTGCTTTGCAGACACGCAGTATTATTATCATCACCATTATCTCTATCGTTTTTATGCTTTTATTCATTCTGGCTGATGGGGGACTCTACCTACTTCATTCCAGGGGTCCCAGGGGCTGTTCCCGGCGGAGTGCCTGGAGGCGTCTTCTTCCCAGGTAATGTACATGAAATTGTCACACTCCCAGGTAAGACAGATGGTGATCACATTTGTGAGAGGTGCACTTTGTGACACTGCAGAAGGGAAGAACATTGGCACACCTACCCCAGAGGACCCATAAGTTACTCCTATTTTAAAAAGCAGTTACATGATGCTATTTTACAACTATTAAGAGCACAAATTTTCTGAAAGATGAAACGCAATGCTTGTGAGACTGTCGGAAAGTGGCCGCCTCACCGATCCCTGCTGTCTTAGTCTTCAAACCATTCACCTCCCTCTTGGAAACCCATTCAAAGGAAATAATTGAAAAGAAGAGAAAAAGAACCATCTGCCCCAAGGTTCGTAGGAATGTTCCTTGCAAAAATGCAAACAAGAAACCCACCTGACTGGAGGGTGTGATTAAATAAACTTATATGATGCAACTACTAAAAATTATGAATATGCTATCTGTCAGGTAACATGGTAAAGTGATTTTCAAGTAAAAACAATATAAAAGCAAGGACTAGGTGCAGATGGAGATTGGGCCCCCTCCAAAAAAAGAAAATGGGCAGAATATTAACTCAATGGCATGGGGGGGGGTGGCGGGGGGCGTATTTTCTTTTTTTAACATCTTTATTGGACTATAATTGCTTTACAATTTTTCTTTTAATTTAGAAAAAAGCATAATGTCTTAAAGTAGATTGAAACGTCAAACCTAATATTTTCAATACTTACAATGGGTCTGAGTGTTCAGAACCAACGTGGAAATGAGGGCAGCTACCAGCGCACTCCCAGGTACACACAGGCACACAGCTGTTTCCCCGATGAGATGGATGAGGAAACAGAGGCTCACAGAGGTCAAGGCTTGCCTGAGGTCATATGGCTAGGCAGCGGTGGATTTGACCAGGGTCAATGGATGGCTTCCTGGCAGGGACCCTGATGGTCCTCTCTCTCTCTTTCTCTTTCTCTCTCTCTCTCTCTCTCCCCTCAACACAGGCGCTGGTCTCGGAGGCCTGGGAGGAGGTGAGCTCAGACACCAAACTTGGTTCCTCAGCGATGGGGTCTGGGTCTCACTCTAGTCCACATACGTGCTCAGATCTGAGAACCTCAGAAGGCCCAGACATTAAGGGACCCCTCATTTCACAGACCGAGCATCCACTGGGGAGGGATTTGTCTAAGAACTAGAACTCACGAGTCCCCTAAGCCCCTCCCCCTGGCCTCTTTCCCTGGGGGCCCTGCCTTCTTTCATATTTCTTTCTCTTTTTTTTCAAATTAATTAATTTATTTTTGGCTGCGTTGGGTCTTCGTTGCTGTGTGCGGGCTTTCTCTAGTTGCTGCGGGCGGGGGCTACTCTTCATTGAGGTGCGTGGGCTTCTCATTGCGGTGGCTTCTCTTGTTGTGGAGCACGGGCTCTAGGTGCACGGACTCAGTAGTTGTGGCTCGCGGGCTGTAGAGCGCAGGCTCAGTAGTTGTGGCACACAGGCTTAGTTGCTCTGCGGCATGTGGGATCTTCCCGGACCAGGGCTCCAACCCATGTCCCCTGCACTGGCAGGCAGATTCTTAACCACTGCGCCACCAGGGAAGTCCCTCTTTCATATTTCTTTTGATCCTCAGTAATATCCCTGCAAAGCCAACTGCGCGGGAAGCATCACCCCCTTCAGAGGCTGGGAAACAGTGTGAGAGAGGGTAACCCCCAATCAGGGTCAGAGCTGGGCTTCCCACCCAGGCATGTGGACACTGGGCTCCGAGCAGCTCCCTGTGCAGAGGGGAGGATCATTCCTCACCTCACAGTGAGACCCCGCAGTACCCTGGGGGATCGTGGTAGGTCAGGTGGGCTGGGACTCCCCATTTACCACCATCTCTTCCCTCTGCAGCACTGGGCCCTGGAGGCAAACCACCCAAGCCAGGTAAGACCGGTGGCCTCAGAACACTGAGTGAGTGCCGACGGGGTAGGGGAGGGAAGGGTCCGCAGAGCTGTGAACCCAGCCTATGGACGGAGGAGGGAGGGAAGTGGTGGGCAGCAACAGCCCCTCTGCCCCCTAGTCAACCCCACCTATGACCTGGCTAGGGCCAAGCTCTGGGGCATCCAGGGTAAGGAGGCTGGAGGCAGCTTGCTGTCCTCCATGTGTGAGGGGTGTCTGGCACCTACCCTGCCGGTGCCTATGTGCCCAGCTGCCCTGACTGTCCCCTGTGCACAGAGTCCCAGAAACAGCCCTGGCGCTGGAGTCAAAGGTAGGAATTGATGTTCCAGTGGCCACCAAGCCTGTGGGCTCAGACACAGATGGTGGGCCCCATACTCTGCCTGAATGGTCTCTGACCACAAACCAAGCCCTCTCTTACTCCAGGCCAAGATCCTAGATGTCCCTGTCCTTAATGACAATCTGAGCCCTTATCCTGACCCCAGGCTGAATCTTGACCCCAGACCAAGCCCTGAACCTAACCCTAGGCTTCACCCTGACCCTGGCCCCAGATGAGCTTCCTTCCCAGGCCCCTTCCAGCTGTGTCCAGACCAAGGAGTTTTCCAGTATGAAGATGTGGCCAGATCTATCCCGGCCTTGCCCATGGGGCTTGGATCTGCCACTAGGGTCCACCATCAGCTCCAGGGAACACACCCCCAGGAAAGAGGGAGGGCGGCTTCCTCCTCCAGGAGGCCCTGGTGGATAAGGATCAGGTGGGGGAAGGGGCGTCTCTGTCCGGATTTATGGCCCTAAGAGCATGAGACGCTTCACATGCCGCCCTGGTACCCCCCACCCTGATCTGTGTCTCCCTGGCTCTGAAGCCTGGGACTGCAGGACAGTTTGCATGTCCAACAGCTCTTACGAAATCCAGATATTCGATGATTCAAGTGCAAGTGAATCTACAAGACCCAGCTTCCCCTTCCCTGCAAGCCCATCTGGGTTATGGCCAGGCGAGAGAGATGCAGGAGGGCAGGAGGTCTGGGCAAGGGGTTTGCTGGGGTCTGTTGGGGTCTGCAAGGCTGGAGCCCTCGGGATTCACTGCTTATCCCGCCTGAACCTGTTTCCTATCTTCTCAGAGTGGTGGGTGATCTTAGCAGGGTCTTTGACGGCAGAGAGAGAACAGGGAAAGGCTAGATAAACAAAGGTGTGGAATTAGGATCATGCTTAGCTGTGAAGACCCAAATGGTAGCGGTCGTGACTGCAGAGCTAGAACAGGGATTCATTGATCCCATTGGCAGCAGGGGACACACGGCGGGTTGCGACGAAACACCGAAGAGAAGACTGTGAAAACTGCCTTCAGTTGTAGTTGATAAAGTGAAGCTTTTATTGATGAAAGATTTAGTTTTGACTTCCAAAAGAACTTCTGGCTCAGGGTGAAGGCGTAGACCGAGAGGAAAGTCAGAGCATCTGCTCATGAAAAGGGGCTGGACTCCACGACCTCCCTGAGGTCATCTTTCAGCCTTAGGACTCTGAGCTACAAAGGCCTGGACAGGGCCACAGTGCCCCCCCCACACACACACAAAGGGCAGCTCCCCACATCCGGGCAACAGGGACGCCTGGGCCTACCCAGATGGGATGGAACTGGGCACAGACAATGCATGTCATGCTTGGGAACAACTAATCCATTGGCGAGTGGAGGGTGGGTGGCCTGGCAGCTGCTCCACCTGGGCCTCGGCCGGTGGCCCTGCCTGGGCTCTCAGTGGGGAACCAGACAGCTGGGAGCCAGCCCCACCTACACCCCCAGCACCGGCTGGAGGCCAGTCACCCACGTGAGAGGACAGGGGGGAGCAGAGGGGCCACCCACCGGTCACCCTGGCAGGCTGCAGACGCTCTGCACCCTCTGCCCACGAGCCCTCTGGTCCCAGGAAGGTGGGGAACATGCTGGCCGTTTTGTAAGTGGGGAAACTTGAGTCTCAGAGAGGTGAAGTGACTTGCTCTTTCATGCAAGGAGTAGCTTGGGACAGTGGGATTTGAATCCAGGGCTCTCCGACTCCAGGGGAGAGAGATGGTTGGGTAAGCCAGGCCCCCGGGCAACCAGGGAGTCCAGCCCCTCTCTCCTTACCCCTCTCTCCTCCATTCTAGGGGCTGGACTCCTTGGGGCATTTGGGCCAGGTGAGTCCACAGGAAGGAGGGCATGTAGCTGGTCATGCTACAGGGTGGCCCTGGGACCAGACAACTCTGGGGGAGCACGGGACGAGGGCAGATGGCCGCACAGGGGCTGCATGCCCCACTCCACGCACCCAGCCTCTTCTCACTTCCTGTTCGGTCCCCATCCTCTCATCCCAGCCCCTCTGCGGTAAGGAAAGGCCCGAGCATGTCCGCTGCCCTGCTGGAGCTCAGGACACAGGCCTGGCTGGAGAGAAACCCCTGCCAGAGTTGGGGAGGGGCAGGGCCTGCAGCCCTGGGAAGTGGACCCAGACACACCCCACGCCCAGCTAGACCACACCACACCTGCCCGGAAGGGAGACTGGCCGGAGTCAGAGGCCCATCTTACAGAGGGGCTGGCTGGGTTTCAGACAGGCCAGCTCACAGAAGTAGGAAATGGGGTCGGGGGACCACACCCAGTGAAAGCTAGGTGGACTCTCCAGGGCTCAGCAGCCCTGCATGTTTGAGGTCGGTCCCCAGAGGGGCCGCCCCTGAGCTTGGAACCCTGGTGGCCAGGACTGGTGCTTGTGGGAGAGATTCTCACATAATTGGAAACAAACCCAGCACGGTTGTGAACTCCAACCTGATTGCCCATCGGTCCTGGCCAAAGCCGTGGAATGTCTCCTGGAGGGGGAAAAGGAGAGATTGAGCCCAGATGTGGGAAGGAGAGAGCCAGAGGGACCCATTCGGCTGTTCATAAACATTTTAGCATCTGTCTGCAGGCAGGGAGGCTCCCAGACTGCAGGGCAGGCTAGACGGATGGACAAAAGGGGCTCCAGATACAGGGGAGAGGGCGTGGCCTGAGGCAGGGGACCCCTGCGAGGAAGCCAGTGAGAGGCCCGGGGTGGGGCAGCTAACGTGGGAGCAGAGCAGGGCCTGGCCTGGGTGAGATCTTGCCGGCAGCTCGTGCTCAGCCCCAGCCTTCACAGAAAGCCCCTCTGGGTCCCTCGTTAGGTGGCGGGCCTTCTAAGGGAAGTGAGGTCTGGTCAGGGCGTGTTGTACGGAGTCAACACAGTCAGTCCACATGGCACATAGCTGTTGGTTGCTAAACAGTGGCTGCTACTTTATCAGATTGGCCCCTGAGTACTAAAGGTTTGAGTCCAGCTTAGGGCCCTGAGCGGCCACACGCCGACCACAGCATGGCCAGGGTCTTGCCCCTACTCCACGAGACCCTTTCCACCCTGAGCCCAGGAACGATGCCCCACACCAGCCCCTCACCTGGCTCTGTCTTCTTCTCCCTGGGTGCCGGAGGGCTCGTAGGCGCTGGCCTTGGGGCAGGTTAGTGTTGACACCAGGCAAGATGCCCCTCTGGGGGCCAGAGCATCTGCCCAGTATGGAGGGCAGTTGGGGGTACAAGGATGCAGACCGGGCCTGTCCTGGGCACTGGTGTAAGGGGTGGTGCTGAGACCGCTGTCCAGGGCACAAGGGAATCACAGCTGGGTCCTGGGTGCTGTTATAACCTAGTAACAAGAGCTGGAGGGAAGCAGCCCCAGGAGCCCAAAGGAGTCGCCCACCTCGGAGGGGCTTCAGGAAGGCTTTTTGGAGGAGGGAGGTGTGGAAGTTAGACCCCGAAAGATCCCTGCGGTTTGTCAGGCCGGGCGGAGCAGCCTGCCCCAAAGTGCCCACTGACACCGCACCCCGTCCTGGAAGCAGCAGTCACAGCTTTGCGTGGAGCAGAAGAGCCTCAAATGTACCTCGTGGGCAGCGCGGGCCGGGGAAGGGCTGTGGGCAGGACCTCACCCCGTCCTCCTCTCTGCAGGGCTTGGGGCCTTTCCTGCAGGGGCCTACCCAGGAGCTCTGGTGCCCGGCGGCCTGGCTGGCGCTGCTGCAGCCTATAAAGCCGCTGCCAAGGCCGGTGAGTGTTACCCTTTGGGACGTGCCATAAGCCCTCTGGCCTCCGCAGGCTCTCCACTTGGCAAAGGACCTTTCCTGAGGGGCAAGCAGACGGGAGCCTCAGCTCCATCTCCTGGGGGTGTGGGGAGGCAGCCAGCTGTGCCCGAGTCTCAGAGGTGGTGGCAGACCCAGACCTCAGCCCCGGGCCCTCCTGCCTGTGACTGTTCCTGGTGTGACCTCTCTCCTCTCCCACTCCTGGCTCTGTAGGTGCTGCGGGGCTTGGTGGGGTCGGTGGCTTAGGAGTGTCTGCAGGTATGGAGGCGAGACCTGGGTGGCCCCGGCGAAGGCCGTGGGGGTGGGGGGTGGGGGTAGAGCCCACTCTGTGGTGGCCCCTTCCCTACCAGGTGCGGTGGTACCTCAGCTCGGAGCAGGAGTTGGAGCTGCAGGGAAGCCCGGGAAGGTGCCAGGTCAGTGTGGATGGAGTCCCTGGGGGTGGAGGGCAGAGGTCAGGGAGGAGCGAGAGCTTCTAAGGCCCACAGGGCAGGAAGGACAGGGCCCGGCTGCAGCAGGGCAGGGGGCATAGCCAGGCCCAGAGCATGGTGCCGTGTCCCAGATAGGGGCGAGGGGCCCTGGTCTACCTCCCGGGCCCTTCTTCCAGGACCTTGGAGCAGACCTCAGAGACAGACTCTGTGGCACCCACATTCAGGCGACAGATGGGGACGCTGAGGTTCAAAATAGGGAGTCGGCGCAGAAGGGCCCGCCCGTCACTGCGGAGCAGGGGGTGAGCCCGAGGTGGGCCGACTCCCCATCCGGTGTTTGTTCCTCTGCACCAAGCCCTTGAGGAAGTGACTTCAGGTTAAACAAAAGGCTGCCTGAGTCCACACAGCAGGGAGGGAACATCTGGAAGCTGTTAACCCAGAGGTGGGCTGGGCCGGCCATGTAAACAGGCTCCAGGAGATGGGACAAATCCACGCACAGAAGGGTTTGCAGATGACTTCCGGAACTTACAGGAGGAGGGCTGCAGCCACTGCATGTGTCCCTCGCCGTTCCCGCCGGGCACCCAGGTGGCTGGCTCGGGAGCCCCAGAGCTGCCACGGCGGGAAGGGCCTGGAGGGGCCCCTGGAGGCCAGGCTGCCACTCACTCTCCTTCTTTGGCCACAGGTGTGGGGCTCCCAGGTGTATACCCAGGTGGAGTGCTCCCAGGCGCAGGTGAGAGCAAGCAGGAGAAGGGGACCCTGTAGCAAGGAGAGCAGACCCTGGCAGCCTCCCCGGTGGCCCCCCACCTCCCCCGAAGCCGAGGCCACCAGAGACCTTGGGTCCTGACCGGCATTTTCTCCCTAAGCATCAAAGCTCAGGCTACAGGCACCAGATCTCTGGTTGTCTTTTCCCTACGAAGATCCACAAGCTTCCCCTGGCCCCCCAGCGCCCTGAGCCCAGGCCCAGACCCAGACGTCATCACAGCCTGCAGTGGGCCCCCAAGGACAGACCAAGTCCCCAGTGTGGCCAGCTGTTTCCCAAAAGCCATAAGTCACCAGGGGCCCCACCCAGTGCATCCGCCCTGCAGGAGGCCCTCGGAGCTGCCCCCTCAACCTCCTTTCCCCACCAGGGCCCGGCCACCCCACCCAACATGTGACCTCTTGAATTCCCCCAAAAGCCCAGACTCGGGCTGCTCTGCGGGATTGGCTGGCAGAGTGTCCCTCCCTCGGCCCCTCCCTGCCACGGTGGCCCAGCCCCAGGGGAGACAGGAGAGGTGACAGCACTGGACACTGGCAAATGGAGTGTCACGCAGCCAGAGCAGATGACTGCTTTGTGTGCTTGTCAGTCACATCCAGTGAGAGCCCCCCAAGGTCACAGGCCTCCCCGACCTGCAGGCTCTCCCCACTTCTGGCAGGCTTCTACCGTCTGCCTTCTCTGATGAGGGTGAGCAGGGCGGCGGGAAATTAGCTCCAGTTTAGAGACAGGCCAACAGAAACACAGACGCACATGGCTAGGAAATAGGATTAAAACTTCTGACCTTGGGTCAGATGGGGAAGAAAAGTCACTACCAAAGAGGCCCTCCCCCCGCCCTGTGAGCCATGCCAGTAGCTGACAGTCAGAGCAGAAGGAGGCCAGCTGTGTCACTGACGGGTGTGGTGCCGGGCTGGACCTTCCAGGCCGGCCTTCCCACGCCCACTGCGAGCCCCCTCTTTGCCCCTTCAGGAGCTCGGTTCCCTGGTGTAGGGGTGCTCCCTGGGGTTCCCACTGGAGCAGGAGTCAAGCCCAAGGCCCCAGGTATGTTGCCAGCTGGGCTGGGGACCCATGGTGGGAATCTCCATTCACCCTCAGTCCCCTCCGTCCTGGGGTGAGGGGCGGGGACCCTGGGCTCAGCTGGCTGAGATGGGCGGCACATCTCTCAGAAATCCCCGAGTGTGTGCGAGGCAGCATGAGCTGGGAGGCCTGGGCAGAAGTGGCCACGGCTCGGGTCAGCCTGCCCCTCAGCACTGCCATTGGTGCGTAGGCCCTGTGCCCGTGGTGGCAGGGCTGCAGTGATGGCTCCTTGTCACTGCAGGTGGAGGCGGAGCTTTTGCTGGAATCCCAGGTAAGGCAAGGCCGGGTCCAATGAGGGTGGGCAGGCCAACGGGTCTGCCATCCGGGCAGGAGATCCTCCCCTGGGAGGGGCTGGGCGTACCTACTGCTCCAGGCCTCGGACTGGCTTCAGCACAAAGTGACGTCAATCACAGGCCTGCTTCCCCCGTCCCCACCCTCTGTCTGGGAGCCCAAATGAGCCCAGAAAGCCCAGCAGTCTGTGCCAGATGCCACAAGGGCTACAGGCCCTGAGTGTGGCCCAAGCCCCAGGAGGGAGAGTGTCCGGCAGCTTCCAGAAGGAAGTGGCCCATCATTGGGGGTTGCTCTGCTGGTCGATGAGAAAGAGGCAGGAAGGCCCTCTAGGCACTAGGATGGTTTCCGGATTCCGGATGCCACGGGAGCTCATTCTGTCTGAGCAGAAGGTGGAGCGTGAGGCTGGGGGCTTTGCAGGGGCTGCTGGCTCGAGTGACTGGGACCTCATCTTGCTCTCCTTGTTCCCACAGGAGTTGGACCCTTTGCAGGTCAGCAGCCTGGAGTCCCTCTGGGGTACCCCATCAAGGCACCCAAGCTGCCAGGTAAGGCAGAAGGAGGATTCGAGAGACACCACTCGCTGGGCCTCCCTACTGGGAAGCCAGCTTGAGAGGGGACTTGTTTGGCCACCTGTGTCTTGGGGTGGACGAGGGTAGACAGGAAACCTGGTATTAAAGCCCATTTCTGGTCGCCAGCAAAGGGAAGCAGGGGGAAGCCATCCTGCAAGTGTTGGTCTCACTCCCATGCACACACACGCACAAGTGTGCACACACACGGACAAGTGTGCGCACACACGCACAAGTGTGCACACGCACACACACATGCACAAGTGTGCGCACACATGGACAAGTGTGCGCGCACACGCACAAGTGTGCGCACACACATGCACAAGTGTGCACACACATGCACAAGTGTGCACACACATGCACAGAGACCCATAGCCCTGATGGGAAACCGCTTGTGTTGATGGTAAGAAACACCATTCACTGGAAAGACTCCTCTGATGTCGACCCACCTCCACCCCAGCAATCAGCTCACATGATGAGCTGTTTCCTGATGGGGAGGAGAGTAAGGAAGATACGCAGACTCTGGGGCCATGGCAGGGCCTGGGTTGGTAGAAGAACGGGTGTCCCATCATGCCCTGGGGCAGGGGTGTCCTCTCCCTCCTCCACCAAGGCCTCTGCTCTCCAGAGAGCCTCTGAGAGCAGCTCACAGCCCTGGTGGAGGCGGCGCAGTCTTGGGCTTCAGTACCTGTGGGAATAGGTCTGTCTACCCAGGTAGTGGGGGCCCAGTGAGGCATGGGGCCGCCATGGGGCAGCCCCTGATCCCACACTCCATCTCCTCAGGTGGCTACGGACTGCCCTACAGCACTGGGAAACTGCCCTTTGGTAAGGCCCTCTTAGACTGGCGGGCTTCTGGCTCTCTCCAGCTGCAGGGTTCTGGCAAGGGAGCTGTGGCCCCAGCTCAGGGCTAAGAGAGCACCAGCTGGAGGGAGGGGAGTGTGGAGTCTTGGAATGGGAGTCCCCGAAGGAGGGGACATGGAACTTGGACTCAGAGAGCCTCACTCTCAATCCTGGCCCTCGCATTTATCACCAGGTCTTGGGAGAACCAGTTTCTTCTCTGAGCCTCAGTGTCTTTGTCTGTAAAATGGGAATAACCATGCCATACACATTTGTATTTAACTCTGGCTGGGTGGGAGACAGGTGGAGACTCTGGGTGGCCTGGCCCTTGAAGGGCAGGGGAGGGGGCAGCCACAGTGAGGTCCACGTGGATGCCCAGAGCCTCTCGTTTCGCAGGCTACGGGCCTGGAGGAGTAGCTGGTGCCGCAGGCAAGGCCGGGTACCCGACGGGGACAGGTAAGGAGAGCCTCACCCCACTGCCAGCCAAAGGGGGCACTAATTACCGAGCCTCCATAAAGCAGGCCAGCCCGCCCTACATCCAGACCCCGGTCTGAGCCTGGAGAAGGATCCTCAACCTCTGCATGCTATGAAACCCCACATCCACACCCAGATGTGAACCAGTTGGTTTTCTTTTTTTTTTTTTTTTTTATAAATCTATTTATTTATTTATTTTTGGCTGTGTCGGGTCTCTGTTGCTGTGCACGGCTTTCTCTAATTGCGGCGAGCGGGGGCTACTCTTCATTGCAGTGCGAGGGCTTCTCATTGCGGTGGCTTCTCTTGTTGTGGAGCACAGGCTCTAGGTGTGCGGGCTTCAGTAGTTGTGGCACGTAGCCTCAGCAGTTGTGATGCATGGGCTTAGCTGCTCTGCGGCATGTGGGATCCTCCTGGACCAGGGCTTGAACCCGTGTCTCCTGCATTGGCAGGCGGATTCTTAACCACTGCGCCACCAGGGAAGCCCTGAACCAGTTGGTTTTCTTGGGGCTGGAATAGGTGGACTCTGGAGATGCAGGGGCACATTTTCCAGAGTCTCTCTCCTTCCTCTCCCCCAGGGGTTGGCGCACAGGCAGCAGCAGCAGCAGCAGCTAAAGCAGCAGCAAAGCTTGGTGAGTACGCCTGGAGTCCCTGCCTGCTAGCTGCCAGCCCCCCAGCCTCTCCATCCCTATTACCACGGAGAGCCTTCCTCACAGATAACTAACTAAGGGGGCCCCTCCCCACTCCACCCCCATTTATCCAACTTTTGCAGCGCCACCCGTTCCTCTCTTCTTCCATGCATCCATTCATTCATTCTTTTTTCCATCCATCCATTCACTCCACCCTCCAATCCTCCATTCCTCCATCCCTCCATCCATCTCTCCATCCATCCACCCATCCCTCCATCCATCCATTCATCCATCCCTCCCTCCTTCTGTCCCTCCCTCCATCCATCCATCCTTCCATCCATCTATCCACACATTTATCTCTCCATCCATCCATCTACCCATCCATCCATTCATCCATCCCTCCCTCCCTCCATCCATCCATTTCAGAGACCGGGGACAGATAAGAGCTCTGCTGGAGAATGTTGGCACTGCTGCGGGAGTCAAGAGGGAGACGTTGTTTCTACCTGGGGATAATCAGGAAGCGTTCTCAGAGAGAATATTTGATTCAGGCCTTAAAATATAGGTGGAGTTTGCCATGTGGTTAAAATAGGAGGGAATGGGTAAAGGTGTGGTTAGAATGATAATTTTAGGTGGTACCTATATGAGCATTTAAACAATTTAATAGTTTAATATCAATTTAATATGTACTATAAAACTTTTAACTAGCTCCTCAAGCCCATGATCCCTTGGTTAGTAGATGTGGCATGGCCTTCTCTATGCCCACATGGGAAGCAAAGTGGGCATCTGTCCCCCTGTCCCAGGTGATTCCCCAGTTCAGAGTCAGATCATGGGTGGTGAAGTCTTCACCTCTACCCCAATCCCAGGGGAGCCCTTCCTGTAGCCTGTAGCACTGAGCTGGAGGCCTGCCCCACGGAGGCCCCACAAGCCCTCCCTCCAAGCCCCCAAGGCTGGAGGGGATGGCTGGAATGTGGGAGCAGGAGAGTGGGACAGCAAGGGGCTGCCAGAGCTAGGCAGCCAGGCGCTTGGATTACAAACTTGGCCGCGTCTTCGGAACACAGGGAGAGGAAGTCTTGAACATTCTTGCAGGGGCCCCCCTGGCCCGGGGAGTGGCCGCTTGTGGTTTCTCAGTATGTGGCAGTGATTAGAATGGGATTTGTCTGAAAACATACAAGTCCCTTAATGAGGGTGTTGAAATGGACACTTTGGGGGTGAGTCAAGGAACAGTGGGGTGGGGGCCTTCCCAAGACGGCCCAGCTGGAGACGCCTGGGCCTCATTCCCAGAGGAGATTGTGCTGTGAAAAACACCAGCATCCAAGTAGCCTCCTGCCTGGCTTCGGGAGGGGCCCCTGGGAGCCACATTTGCACTATCCCCCTCCTAACAGGTGCCGGAGGAGCCGGAGTTCTCCCAGGTGGTGGCATTCCTGGCGGGCCCGGCGTGATTCCTGGCATCGGAGGCATCGCAGGTCGTGTCCATTCCAGCAGGGTGTGGAGGGTGTCCTTGAGAATGCTGTAGGGGAAGGGCCTCACCTTCTGTGGCTCTTTCTCCAGGGGTCGGGGCCCCAGATGCTGCTGCTGCTGCTGCCGCTGCCGCTAAGGCAGCCAAATATGGTGAGTGTCCCCACAGGGGGCAGGACCAGGGCTCCGGCCAGCCCTGGCCTCTGCATGGGCCTTGGAGACCCTAGTCCTATAAGGCTGGATGGACTTGGCCTTTGTCCATCTGGGGCACCGTCCCTCGCCAGGCATCACCGTCATGCCTCCTTGCTTCTGCCCGTTCTGGCCACTCTGCCTGGGAGACTCTCTCCAGTGCTCTCCACTGACTGACTCAGCAGAGGGCGGGGACCCTGTGGAGCATCTGTCTCCTCCCACTTTACCCCCAGGGCCAGCCAGAGCTGCTTCGCCAACTGCCTGGGTGCCCAGTGGAGCGTTCTGACTCTGCTTTAGAACTAGATCGCGCTCTTCCCAACCATAGATCCAAACCCTTAGAGCTCTGTCGGGGTTCCCTCACTTCCCTCCCCTTCTCTCGGGTGACTTGGATCCATGCAGATGCAATGCCCGCTCACCTGGGATCCTGCACTCAGGACCTGCCACTCCCATAGTTCCCCAGAGTCGTGCCCCTGGAGGCCCTCTGAGGTTCCCACAGGGTCCAGGCCAGGGGAACAATCCTTTCCTGCCACAGGAGCTGCTGGAGGCTTAGTGCCTGGTGGGCCAGGCTTTGGCCCAGGAGCAGTCGGCATCCCAGGAGTTGGAGTCCCAGGTGTTGGGGTCCCAGGTGTTGGAGTCCCTGGTGTTGGAGTCCCAGGTGTTGGAGTCCCTGGTGTTGGAGTCCCAGGTGTTGGGGTCCCAGGTGTTGGAGTCCCAGGTATTGGGGGCCCGGGCATCATGGGTAGACCAGGTGAGCTTGGCTCTGTGTGTGTGTGTGTGTGTGTGTAAGAGAGAGATGTTGAAATTATTGCCAAGACTTCTGTATTCTCCCTGACACCTCCCCACCCTATCCTCTTCTCTCCACACCGTTGGTCATCTTCTCTCCCTTGGGATATAACCACCTCCTAATTAACTACGGCCAGCATCATCTTGAATTCACCTTTTGGCTGTCAGTGTGCTCCTGGGGGCAGGAGCCATGTCTTTTTCATCTCTGTGTTCCCAGCCCTTAGCTGAATATGTGCTCAGTAAATGGTGGATAGATGGGTGGGTAGGTAGATGGGTGGATAGATGGATGGGGGCGTGGATGGGCAGAGGGACAGCTAGAGAGGTAGGTGAATGGCCATGGGGATGAGCAGGCAAATTGATGGATGAGAGAGTGGGTCGTGGGTGGATGAAGGGACAGATACAAGGATGGGTGGTTACATGGATGGATAAATAGATATAGGTAAAATGGTGGATGGTGAGATAAATGGGTAAATGGAAAGAGAGATGAATATGCAGGTGGGGGACAAGATAAGTTGTTAGAAGGATGGATGGATGGATGGATGGATGGATGGATGGATGGATAAGTACGTGGGTTAATGAGCAGATGAATGGGTGGGTAGAAGGCAAACACAAAATGGATGGGGAACTTCCCTGTTAGTCCAGTGGTTAAGACTCTACGCTCCCAATGCAGGGGGTGAGGGTTTGATCCCTGGTCGGGGAACAAAGATCCCACGTGCCGCCGCGAAAAAAAGAAAATCAAAATGGTTGGTTGGTGAGATATTTAGATGAATGGATAGATAGACAGGTGGATGGATAAATGCATGTGTGGGTGGACAGAGAGATAAGTGGTTGAGTGGGTAGATTGAGGTCCAAAGATAGACAAATGGGCAGCCATATGGGAAGGTCAGCAGATAGATGAATGGGTGGCTGGTTAGACAGATGGACAGATGGCTTGATGGAGGTATGTATGGGTAAATGGATGGACAACTCTGTGTTGGCTCAACAGATAGAAAGAAGATGGACTGAAAGACAGATGGGTGGACAGAGGGATATATATAGCGCATCTCTGCTCCATTCTGTCCTGAGCATTTGTGTTTCCCTTGATCTCTCCAGGGGCTGTGCCACCAGCTGCAGCTGCTAAAGCAGCAGCCAAAGCGGCCAAATTCGGTGAGTCCTGTGCTGACAGCTCCGCCCCACCCTATTCTGGCCTTTACTTGCCAGAACTAAAGGACCGTCATCTTCTAGTCCCCGTTGTACAGCCCAGAGAAGGGGAGTGACTTGCCCAGGGTCACAGAGCAAGTCACTGGCAGAGCTGGGACTTGGCCCTGTTGGGCCCCAGGACCATGTCTCCCCCAGTTGTCTCCCACCGTGTGGCCAAGGGACTAGGTGATAGGAGAGTCCCAGTACGGCATTCCCAGTGGAGACAGTGTCCCTGACCCGCCCTGCTCTGGCCAGGACCCTCTCAGAGGAGCCCAAGCCTGGCTGGGGATAGGGGACCTGTGCGCAGTCTTTCCATCTTCAACAAAGAGGCCCTTCCCCAAGCGCTCAGAGAAGAGAGGGGCTGGAGACACACTGCGGGGTGTCAGTAGGGAGGAAATTGGTGGGGGACCCAGGTATCCCATGGTTTCCTGTCCTTCATGGACCAGACTTGGGGGAAGCTCGCATCCTCTTCTCCAGTCCAGCATGTCCCCCAGAGCCCTTCCCAGCCTCTCTCATTGAGATCATTTTCCACTTGCGTCTCTTCTCTCTGCAGGGGCCAGAGGCGGAGTGGGAGTTGGAGGTATTCCCACTTACGGCGTTGGTGCTGCGGGCTTTCCTGGCTACGGTGTCGGAGTCGGAGGTGTTCCTGGGGCTGGCCTTTCCCGTGAGCCTTAGTTCCATGCAGGGGAAACAGGGATGGGGCAGGGGCTTGGGGGATGGGGTGGGGGAGGGTAGACTGGGCTTTGCCACCGAGCTCAGGGACGAGTTGGGGGAGAGCACAGGGAGGGTCTCCAGTGCCTTTGGGGCAGGAGCGCTGTCAGCACAGTCTGGCTGAGAGCCAGCAAGGTTTCTGAGTCTCTTTCTTTCTCGGCTCCTCTTAGCTGCAGCCCAGGCAGCGGCCGCCAAGGCAGCCAAGATCGGTAAGTGCCCCAGCCCTGCCTGTCCTCACGCCCAGGGCCATGCCCTCCCTCCTCCCCACCGCAGCCCTGCTCTCCTGCAGGGCCCAGGCTCAAAGCTCAGAGCAATTCTCCAACACGAGGGCAGAGCAACGTCACACTAGGGCCTCCAGGGCTGAAATGGCCTGGGTCAAGGTCGGAAGCCCCTGGGCCCATCCTCCAAAGCCACAGTGAAGTTTTCTGCGCTTTTCAATTGCGCACCATTAGGATCATTGGTACCTGGCTTATCACCCCCAGACCAGCGCGTTAAAGGTGCCCGTCCATACACAACCACGGTGCCATTATGCAACCCCTACCTCCACCCTCTGCTCCCCCAAGAAGGGGGCACTTCAAGGGCAGAGCTGGATGCTCTTCACCCCTCCAGGTGCTGCAGGAGCCCTGGGAGGGCTGGTGCCCGGTGCCGGAAAAATACCAGGTGTGCCAGGCGCTGAAGGGGTACCAGGTGAGCTGTGTCCCCAACCCAGACATGGGTTTGGCTTATCTCATGGAAGGGACCCTGGAGGTGGCCTATGTAAAGTGTACCATTTTACAGATGACAAGACTGAGCCCAGAGACAAGGGTAGAGACAAAGCAATTTCCCTTAGTTTGGAGGGAAGAGCCCCCATGGGATTCCAGATTGCTGAGTGAACCCGGCAATTCCCCTACCCGCCCCGGGGACGCTCAGGATGTCAGCCCAATAGGCAGTGGAACTCTGCTTTACCAGGGTTGGGGGGCCTCATTCACCCCTCACGGGGCCTTTCTGGTTTCTGATCAGGTGGGAGGGCCTGTGTCAGCCTTTGTTTCCCCAGCACTCTTTCTCCAAGGGGAAGAGATTAAGAATTACAATGAGATTAATTTACAGCCTTCCTTGATTGTTTTTTTCCCACCAGAAGATTTCTCTTCTGCATTTCCTCTTCTTTCTGGGAGGAAATTCCCCTTTTGAGTTTCCCCCCAAGAAATGTGGTGCTTCCTCTAACAGTTTTGGATACAGGCGTGATTAGGATTTTTAAAAACTAACATCACCTTCAGCAGAAAGCTCCAGAAATCTTTTAGCCTGAGGTTTGGGAGAGACAGCTTCGGGCTGCCCTCCACCATGGGCAGAGCTAGAAGGCCACAGTCTCAGAGCTGCTTCTCAGGGAAGGGACGTGTCCAGGGCGGCCGGTGGGCCATCTGAGAGCGGGCCTGCCTCACGCTGGGTTTCCTGGGTGAGGGGACAGTTCCCTAGGGGTGGTCTCTGAGAAGCCTTTCCACCGTGGAGGGTGGGTAAGAGGGGGAAGGGATGCTGGGGACCACTCCTCACTCTTCACATCTCCAGGGGCAGGGATCCAGGCAGCTGCAGCCGCCAAAGCAGCCGCCAAAGCAGCCCCGTTCGGTAGGTGAGCCCCCTGCCAGTCCTGTCTTCGACCCTCAGCCTAGAGCACTGCTCTCTCGTGTCCCTGCTTTGGGGTTTGGCAGACCCCCCTCCTTAGGTTGTCATGTTCTGGGCGTGGGCCTCCCTCACAGCTTTTGGCCCATCTGACCACTCTGAGGGGTGTGGATGAAGTTTCTGATTAGGAAGGCAAAGTGAGAACAGGTGCTGGCGAGCCCTCCAGAACACACCCCCTACCCTTCCCAAAGCCACTGCTGCCTCCCAGTCCAGCTGGGGCCTTGCCCTGCTTCTGGAACAAATGCTGGGCTCCTCTGGGCTCCCACCCACCCCAAGGGACAGCCATGTTCTTGCTCCCTGACAAGGTTCTCCATGTCCTGCTTCATCTGAGGGCCACCCTGGCAGCCCCAGGTTCCCATACCTTCCTGAGCATGGCATAGCAAAACAGCTCACTTTAGAGCCAGAGAAATCTTAACTTCAGGTCCGCTGACCCCCAAACTCACATATGACAAACAACCCTTTTTTGTAAAACTATCATTTGCTGAGGTAATCATTACACCAGCCTTATGAAATTGGTACCCTTATGCCCATTTCACAGATGTGGAAACTGAGGCTCCAAGAGCCTAAGAGACTTGCCCATAGTCACACAGCTAAATGGTGGCTGAGCTGAGTTTGGAAGCCAGTCCTGCCTGTCTTGCAGAGCTCCCCTTACTACATAAGTCTGCCTCCATCACCCTCAGGAGTCACAAAGGGGCCCTTGTAACTCCAAAGTTTAAGAACTCCTGATCCTGCCCAGACCTCATATTAGGGATGAAGAAGCTGAGGCCCATCAAGGGAAAGTAACTTGTCCAAGGTCACACAGCAAGTCTGTGCCCAGCTAAGAACCCAGGGCTCCTGACCTCCAGCCCACTGCTCCTTCCATTAGCTCCTGCCCTCCTTGATCAGTACTTGGTTAAGGATGAGCTCTTCTCTGTCTTGCAGGGTTAGTCCCGGGTGTCGGTGTGGGTCCCGGTGTCGGTCTGGGTCCCGGAGTCGGCGTGGGTCCCGGTGTTGGCATTGGCCCCGGTGGTGTCATAGGTAAGCAGTGTGAGCAAGTGGGCCTGAGGGGCCTCTGAATGCTCCATGGGTGCCGTCCTTGAACCCCCTCTCTCTCCTCCCAGGAGCAGGGGCCCCAGCTGCAGCCAAATCCGCTGCTAAGGCGGCCGCCAAAGCCCAGTTCCGTGAGTGCCCTGCCTGCCTTCTCTCCTCACCCCACAAGCCCAGGCCTGGCCCGGCATGATCCAAGCCTAAACTGGACCCCAGGACATGCCATATCTCAGGCCTGCCCTGCAGCCTCGTGAGGCTCCCAAGGCGGCAGACAGAGGGATTGGAAGTGCAGATTTGGCCTGAGGGAGACATGGGTTCGAGTCGTGGGCCACACACTAGCTGAGTGACCTCTGAGTTTCCTGTCCTCCCGTGTGGGTACCGATGGCACCTGTCACAGAGGCTTGTTAGGAGAATCAAATGAGTTCATCCAAAAGGGAGGAACAGGAGGTTAGGCTGAAAAGGGCAGTGGTGTCCAGAGTGTGTATCCCTGAATGCCAGCCTGGGGAAGGGCTGGACTTGGTGGTCAATGAGAGTTTTAGGAAGACCATTCTTGTGGCAGCGTAGAGGGCAGATTAAGGGGGTCTGGGCCCCTTCCTTGGGGTCTGACTCAGCTCCCTGAGCCGGACACCCCCAAAAGGGCCTGTTCCCTGCCTGCTGCCGCCACCCCACTCCCCATCTCCCCCAGGGGCCGCCGCTGGGCTTCCTGCCGGCGTTCCCGGATTTGGAGCCGGTGTTGGAGTTCCTGGACTTGGAGTTGGTGTTGGTGTTCCTGGATTTGGGGCAGGTGCAGGTGAGGGGCCTTCTAGGGGCTGAACAGAAACGCCCCTGACCTCAGAGGAGGGAGACCTCTCCTCCCAGCATGCCCCCTCCACTCAGAGATGTGCAATAAATTCCCCGTTATGTTCCCCTGAGCAGTTAGAGACAGCTGGGGTAACAGATGCGGGCAGGCCAGGCAAAAGGTCCTCTTCTGCCAGATTTCAGAGTTTCTGTCTCCTCAGTGGAAGGGTGCCAGGGCTCCAAACTGAGAAGAAGCCCACCACCCAAGGAAGGAGGCTGGAGGTCCCTGGGGTCAGTGGTGTGTGTGGGCTAGCCTGGCTACCCTTCACCAGTGTGCTGTGGCAAGGGGGCCACTAGGAACTCTAGCTCTTCGTCTGCTAGTTACCGAGCCTGCTCTGTGTCCACCCTCAGGCAGACCATGCCGGGCCTAGAGGAGACGGGAGGGGACAGATGGAAGGAGGAGGCACAGTTCAGCCCTCAAGCACCCACAGACCAGACTGGTAGAGGCACAGTTAGACACTGAAGCTCTGTACTTGGCTGGGTGAGCTCCTGGCTGCAGAGCCACAGCTTCAGGGCTTTGAGAGAAGCAAAGAAGGCTGAGGAAGTCAAGGAGGGCTCCCTGGAGGAAGCAGAATCCCCAGGCACAGAGCTCAGCTGCTGACCACCCCACTTTTCCTTTTGCCCTTTTCCGCAGTACCCGGAGCCCTGCCCGCAGCTAAAGCTGCCAAGTATGGTGAGTGCACCCCACACACCATCCCTGACAGCACCTGGTCACCCGGCTCCCCTCTGCCTGGGCCAGGGCCCAATGCCTGGAGCCTACAGCGCAGGGCTGGGATGGTCAGGATGGAAAAAGGCAGTTTCTAGGAAGCATCAATGATGGTTCAGCAGACTCTGGCTCCTGCCCACTAAATGCCTAGCGTGCCTCCAGCCCCGGGACAACCAAAACCGCCCTTCACAGTTCCAGCCCCCCTGGGGGCAGTTTCACTTTGGTGAGGACCATGGTCCCTAAGACCCCTCAGGCCCTGACCATTTCATGGGGCCCAAGGCCAGGGAGGGGCCAGGGCTGCTGTCCCAGCAAAGCCAGGACTCCTCATCTGGGCCCCTGCCTCCCTGTCAGCATGACTGCGCCCGCCACGAGCCACGAGGACGTGGCAGACCTGCCCTCCCCCCACACTTGGCATTCGGGCAGCCCTGCCTGGCCAGATCCACACTGTCTATGTCCCCCTGCATTCCCGGCCTCCTGGGATCTGGGCTGGGGCCTCTGCCAGGGAACTGCCAACCAGGCCTGGCTGGTCCACGTGGGGCCAGTTTCCACCTCGGAAAATCCCAGCTTCCTCAGCCCCCGCCCACGGCGGGCCTGATGACCCACAGGCCCCTCTCCTGTTCCTCGCTGGCGGCTCTGCTGGCCTGAGTTCGTCAGCCATTGCCAGGGAAACAGAGCAGTTAAGGCCTCTGGCTCCGAAGTCATTTCCTGCCCATGAAACCGTGAACACATTGCTTAACCACTGCTGTGCCTCAGTTTTCTCATCTGCGAAATGGGGCTAATAGTGCCTACGTTTCCTGCTGCCCGGAGCAGTCTGATAAGTGTGACACACGGACCATGAGTGTCCCCCTAAAGCGCTAGCTATAACTCTTGCTGCTGCTGCTACTGGCAGCTCTGTACTGGACAGTGGTTCACACTCAGAGGTCCTTTCACTATCCAAACACCTATAGGTGAGCAGGAGTAAGGATCATCATCTCCTTTATAAAGATGCAACTCTGCAGCTCAGAGAGGTGACAGCTATGATGAGTGGTGAAAACAGATTCAAACCCAGGGCTGTCAGGACCTGAGACTAGTCTTCCACCCTTGGCGGCCTGTGGCCACAGCCACCACTGTGACCACCTGCAGCTCCCAGCACCAGCCCGGGAGGAAGGAGAGGAGACAGGCAGGCTGAGGCTCAAGGGGTGTGCCCTTGCCCGATGCGTCAGGGCAGAACCGGACCTCAGACCCGGGTGTCTGGTTATGGATTTCTGTCCAATACTCCTTCCACTAGGTCGCGTGGCCGCAGCCACCTGTCTACTTGCCTAGTAGCCCTGGGGCCGGGAGACCCCGTCCTTCAGAAAGGGGAGGATTGACTTTTTGTCCTCTCTGCACAGGACCAGCAGGGGTCGGGGCCCTTGGAGAGCTTGGAGATCTTGGTGGAGTCGGTGTCCCAGGTGGTGTGGCAGGTGAGTTGAAACCCCAGGACAGGCTGGGCATGGAGGGAGACTGACCCATGGAGAGTCCCTCCCTGAGCCCCCTCTGTGTCCCCAGGAGCCGGACTCGATGCTGTGGCTGCTGCCGCCAAAGCTGCTGCCAAAGCCGCCCAATTTGGTGAGCACAGGCTTGGGGGGTGGCTGCCGCCAGGCTTCTAGGATTTGACGGGAGGGGAGGGGTTCTGACCACGCACCACGGAGCGCATATTCCCTGACCTGTCCCTGAGGCCCTCAGGGGCATCGTCTCCCAGGGCCCCAGCCCACCTCCTGGCCCCACTAACCCTCCAAGGCCCTGGGGGCTCAGGCTCCACCTGGGTCCTGGGATGATCTCCCCACCCCCCACCCCCACCTCCTCCCGCACCCCACCGCGGACAGACCAGCTGCCCTCACTTGCAGGGATTAATGCACAGCTCTCTCCTCAGGGTTGGGGGGAGTCGGTGGGCTCGGAGTCGGAGGACTTGGAGTTGGAGGGCTTGGAGTTGTCCCAGGGGCCGGGGTCCTTGGAGGTAAGGGGTGCTCTGGAATCAGTGAGTGCGTGGCCGCCCCCTTCTCTGGGCTCCTGCAGTATTTGCAGGGGCCTGAGCAGGCTTAGCGAGGGCTGCCCCTTGCAGTTGGGTGTCCCAGTACTCTCCCTCTCTTTCAATTCACCCAACCACCTCAAGTGGGAATTCATTAGGATAGTGATGGTTATGCCCATTTTCCAGAGAAGAAAAAGCAAAGTTTGGAGGGAAATTACTTTCCCAAAGTCTCTGCCATCATGGTGGACCTTATGTTAACGTTTCTCTCTCTCTTGGGTCATCATTGTGTCTCCCTACCTGACCTGGCCTGAAGTCTCTTACCCCGTGTACTCCACAAGACTGGCCACACAGTAGGAGCTTAATAAAGACTTCTGGAAAGATGGACGGATGAAGGTGGGGTGGAGGGATGGCGGAAGGATGAGTCAGTAGGCTAATGGCAGACCGGTGAGCAGGTCAGGAGGGAGACATGACGTGGGGAGGGAGGAGATATTCCTGGGCCCTCACGCTCGCCATCTCCCCAGGTGTGCCCCCAGCTGCAGCTGCTAAAGCAGCCAAATTTGGTGAGTTGCTCCCGATGCCTCCCCCTGCCCAGGCCTGCAGGCTGTTTAGACCCCACCCCCACTGCCCTGTCCCCGCCCCGGCACAGGCCTCAGTCCTGCTCACAATACCCCTGAAGGCCCATCCAGGAGATCCCTGACCCCAGACGCCAGAGGGGATGCTCAGGGTCCCTTAAACTGTGGCTCGTCCTCACCCACATCTGGCCTCTTCTCAGGTGCCGCTGGCCTTGGAGGTTTCCTAGGTGCCACCAGGCCATTCCCAGTTGGAGGTAGGGACCACCTCTGCTGTGAAATCCTCAGCTCTGGCTGGCCCTGGAGGAGGCCTGGCTGCCTAGCAGCTGGGGCTCTGAAGCTGCATCTGGCACAGGGACACAGAGAGAGGGTGGAGGGGACAGTCCAGGAAAGGAGGCATCCTGGGCAGAGGGGCAGGCCTCAGGGTCAGGTGGACACATGTGACTCAGACACCAGGCCGACGAGCTGAGGCTATGGAGCTGCATCCCCGGATGCCAGGAGGGGACCAGCTGTGTTAAGAAACTGCTTCGGCAGGGGGTAGGGGGCAGTGGGAGGAGGTGGTTCTAGTCAGAGAGGCAATAGGTGGCAAGGCTGGGGTGGGCCCTGCCCCCCACCAACCCCAAACCCCTCCTGCAGGTGTCGCAGCAAGGCCTGGCTTCGGACTGTCTCCTATTTTCCCAGGTATGACCAGGCTCCCCCGCCCTGGGCCCCATCCTTCCTCCTTCCCTGGTTCATCTCCTGCTCAGAAGGGCTGAGCCAGGACCCGAAGGGTACCCCGCGCCCTCAGATTGCACAGAGTTGGGTTTCCCCTTCTCCTCTCCCTCCTGTGCCAAGCCAGGGAGCATCAGCTCTTCCAACACACCACGTTCATATGAGGCAAACTGAGGTTCAGAGAGTGCCAGGGACACGCTCAGGGTCACACAGTCACTGGTAGAGGCAGAGCCAAGGGCTTCCAACAGCCAAGCCCAGAACTTGGCCCCCCCTCAGACGAGGCTCAGGCTGCTCGGGAGGGCTTGGCGGGCACCCCAGAGGTGGGCACACTCACGACCTCTCTCCTTGCCTTGTAGGTGGCGGAGCCGGGGGCCTGGGAGTTGGCGGTGAGTCTATCATAAGAACAAGGGGCCCCGTTTCAAGCAGGGCTCTGAGCTCCTGCTGAGGGAGCGGCTAGTGCAGCCACGGCCCTGGGCTGGCCCTGGGCATGGGGACCCGAGGGAGCCCCACGGGGAATCACAGAAGCTGAAGTCAGCCCTGGGAGGTGGGGATATGGGGACCCTGATTCCTGGGGCTCCCAGCCGGGCACTCGACTGGGCACCAGGAGTGAGACAGGGACCTGGGTCAGCCCGGGTCTCAAGGTCTAACCAGAGAGGTTGACAAGGTCCCATAGAAAAGGAAAGAAACTGTAGGGAAGCACAAGCCCTGTTCAAGCAGGCGGTCAGGGAGGCTGAGCTGGAGCCTGTCAGTGGGCGTAAGCCTGCCCCCGGGAAGCGTGGCCAGGGTCTGACTGTGGTGGGAGAAGGTGCCGCAGAGCTGCTCAGTCCTCCACAGGCAGCAGGCCATCTGCAAGGAGCGAGGTTGGACAGGAGGGTCGGGCTGGGGTCAGAGAGGCCTTTGGAACCCGCTGCTACAAGATGGAGGCGCGTGGAGGGGCCGGGGGCGGGGTTGTCTGGGAGAGGAGGGAAGGCCTGGCCTCCTCCCCAATCCCGGCCTTCCCTCCACAGGCAAACCTCCCAAGCTCTACGGAGGGGCCCTGGGAGCCCTGGGATACCAAGGTGAGTAGAGACTCAGCCCCTGGAAGTGGGCGGGGGGTGAGGGGGTGGGTGTCGGGCAGAGGCAGAGTGATGGGGTCCATCAGCCTGGGAGAGAGGGCAGCACGTCAGACGAGGCCTGGCAGGGAGTGGGGAGGCTGGGGCAGAGCTGGACACCTTACCCACCCCTTCTTCTACCTGCGACACAGACACGCAGAGCTAAGAGTGGGCCCAGGACCCTCCAGGCTCATCCAGGCCAGGCCTGGCCGCCCCTCCCTCCCTGGTACCCACACCTGCCCCTGCGGGAGGAGCGAGGGGCTGGGGGGGGGGCAGAGAAGGAGAGAGAGGATGGAGGCGACAAAAAAGTGAGCCCTGGAGTCAGGGGATCAGAGGGGTGGACCCGGCAGGATGGGCAGAGGCGGCCCAGAGCCACACCCTTGCTCCAAGACGCAGATGTGTCTCTGGCAGTGTGTGGGGTGGGGTCTGATCACCACCCCCCAGGCATTTCCCAATGATGCCCAAAAGAGACCCAGAGAAGCCCCAGCTCTGCACCTGTGCCCAGCTCAGGCTGCGGATCCCCTTTCCACCCCCCCAACCTGCTTCCCACTGAGCAGATGAGACAGCACAGGCCAGGGCAGGGAGAGGCAGAGGCAAGAGCAGCCTGATCTCGTCCACGGCGCCCAGCTCTCAGCCAGGCACCAGCTGGTGCCTGTGGCCCTGTCACACAAGCTCTCTTTTTGTTGGCTTTCTTTCCCAACAAACACCCTGGATGAGCTTCACAGAGAGAGAGAAAAAGATGGTGCTCGCTGCCACCAGGTGGCAGTAATGAGCCACATCTAGCTCCCCCAGGGGTAGGCGCTACCCCAGGCCCTACTACCAGACTTCTGTGCCTTGATGATTTGAAATAAGGTTGACCAATCAGGCCCTCCGCCCGAGAGGGCAGGAGTCCTGCTACCACCCACCTGCTCAGTGGGAGTTTGTACAGCCGAAGAGCTCAGAGAGTGGCCTGGGGTCGTGTCCAGGCTTCCCGTGGCTTCTTGGAGCCTCTGTTCCCCGCTGTGATGATGTGGGTGTTAAGAACAGCTTGGAGTTGGGGGGAGTGGGCAAGGGCTTGAGAAGCAACCAAGACTGACCCTTGCGTGTGCCTCCCTGCACCCAGCTGGGGCCTGCCTGGGGAAATCCTGTGGCCGGAAGAGAAAGTGAGCTTCCCAGGACCCCTGACTCACGACCTCATCAACGTTGGTGCTACTGCTTGGTGGAGAATGTAAACCCTTTGTGACCCCCCCCATCCCATGCCCCCTCCTAAGTTCCCACCCCAGGAGGGAACAGGGCAGGCAGGGTGGCCTTGGAAATCCACAGGGCAAGCAAACAAGAGAGTGGTGGCCAAGTGAGCTCCTGGAAGCCCCCTCCTTCAGAGGCAAGGGGTGGGTGGGCTTGGCCCCTGCCCCCACCCCCTTCCCACCAGGAGCTCTCCCTCCACACACTCCATCTCCAGGGGAACTTGGTGCTACGTACGGGTGCTCTCATTCTCCCTGTGGGGAGGGAGGAGGGAAGGACAGTCCCTCAGGGAACCCCTTCCCTGGGGCTCCTCTGAAGATGGTGCAGACACTCCCTGGGCAGTCTCACCTCTCCCTGCCCACCAGGACCCACCTCTGGCTGCAGTCCAGTTGGTACCCAAACATCGAAACCCTCAAGCTGGATTCGGTCACACCATCTCTTGGCCCCCTTGGCCCCCTCTCCCCTACCAATGGCTATTCCCCATGTCTGGGGCACCTTCAGGTCGGAAGATTCCCCCCATTGGGAATAGCCCTCTTGCTCTTGTGGAATTCATCCGCCCATATGCCCATCCGTCCATCTGTCCTGGTCCCCATTTGGCTGCCCGGCACCGCTAGCTGGCTGGGCGCCTCTACCATCAACTCGATTAACCTGTCATGGCAGCCTGTGCCCTGCCTCTGCCCTACCACATACACCCCTACGTAGGGGCCCCGAGCCCAGGTTGTGAGGGGCTGTCCCGACTGGGGCAGCAGGAATCTCCCTCGCATACTGGGTCTCCCCCCACGCAGTACTGTATCCCCAGTCCCCCCCCCGGAGCCACTGTACTTCAGAGCATATCCCCCCCTGCCCCGCCCATCTCTTTGTGTCTCGCTGTGATAGATCAATAAATATTTTATTTTTTGTCCTGGATGTTTGGGGATTATTTTTGACTGTTGATGTTCTCCTTTGGTTTTATTTTTGTGGTTTATGGGGAAAAAAAAGTTTTCTTTTTTTTTTTTTCTGATCTGGGGAGCTACATCCCCAGTAGAAGATTCATTTTAATCGCTTTGGTATAACTCTGAGTGAAACACACATTTTTTTTTTAAATAAGAAAAGACAATTAACTGCTTCAGAAAAGACTAATAAATGAAAACCTTTTAAGGGAACTGTCTTGGCCTCCTTTGTAATCCCTCATCTGCCTTCAGCTCCTGGTCGGGGTAGGGCTCGGCCTTGGGAACCTGTTCAAGATGTATTTAGGGGGCTGCCAATTACCTGCCATTGGCTTCTGGTGAATTAATCCTTCTCCTAGTTCAGCCTGTCCTTTAATAATGATAATCCCTTTGTAGGGGAAGCAGAGCGGCCAGCCCTACACACGTCCACCCACAGTGGGTCTCATTCCTCTGAGGATGTGGGTTCACTCACCCGGACACTCCTTCCCCAGCCCTCACCCCTTGGGCCCAAATCCTTGGCCTCTAGATGCTGAGAGTATAGCTGGACAGATGGAGGAAACAAAAATGACCCTTCTGTCCAGACCAAATGCTTGGCCTTGGTGAACAGCCTTGCAGAGAGAAAAGAAATGGCCCGACCTAAGACAAACAGATGGATGTTTCCTTCTAAACGTCCCCTTTAAGGAAGACTCACTGTCACACATGGCCACTAGGGCACCACTCTACTTCTTTACAAAACAAAGCAAATGACACTCTGTGGGTGGCAACAGGAGACTCTGTACTACCCTTGGATGCACCAATTCCCCAGGGTTGTCCCCCTCCCCGCAGGGCTACAAATCCACAGAGTATGGGGATGTGCCCCCCCTGGAGCCCACAAGTCCCTTCTAGAGCACACTCTTGGGTACCAGATTCTGGAATTTCCTCCCCAGACCACCAAGTCCACTTCCAGGGCCCACATGGCCTCATGTGTGCATCAGAGCGAACCCCATGGCCAGTGGGCTCTCGTGGAGGCCAGAAGGACGGCAAGGGAGCTGTTTGTTGGGAGTGCGGGTGGAGTCTGCCGTGCAGACAGCAGCAGACGGCAGTATGGGTATCCGTGCACCTGTGCACAAGGACCCTGTGGAAAGAGCAAGGGGGTGGGGCGATGCTCAGGGACAGCTTCCCAGAGGACAGCAGAGCACAGGAAGCAATCTACCAGGTAGAGAATAGAGCAGAGGGTAGGGAGGGTCAGACCTTTCCAGCAGGAAGGGCAGCCTTGTGAAGGTTCCCAGTGCCCGGTGGGAGGGAGCAGAGCCGAGGAAAGGCGAAGGATGGATCAGAAGCGGGTAGGGGGTAGGTTAAAGGAGACCACGGGGTGGGGGGCTGCTGTGACAGTCAGTGAGGAGTGACAGCCTGCCCAAGAGTAGTGGCAAACCAGATTCATTCATTCATTCACTTGTTCAGCAAAAAGATCCCTTGCTCATCCTGGGAAACCCCTCAGCCCCAGGCATACTGGGATAGTCGGTCACCCTGCCTTCCAGAGACATCTATTCATCATACACAAACATATACACGTATTAGTTGCATTACTCAGCATCTTGGTGTTATTTTAATCAAAACTATGTTTCAAAGATCATTCCTTATCATCTGTATATTCATTTAACGAATACTTATGGAGTTACGTACCATGCACTAGGTACTGTTTTAGAAGCTGAATATACAGTAGTAAACAAAATGGGCAAAGATCCCTTTCCTCATGGAGTTAACATACCAGTAACTATATCTGTTGTATTTATTTAATCACTTTGCTATTATGACCAATGCTGTCCTGGACATTTGTGTGCACGTATCTTTCCTACAAGTCAGTGTGAGTTGGTCTATAGCAGCACCGTCCACAGAACTTTCTGTGATGACGGAAATGTCCTCTATCTGCTGTGTCCGGTGTGTAACCACTAGCTACGTGGGCTCTTGAGCTCTAAAAATATGACTAGTGAGACTGAGGAATTGAATTTTTTTTTTTTTTTTGCGGTACGCGGGCTTCTCACTGTTGTGGCCTCTCCCGCTGCGGAGCACAGGCTCCGGACGCGCAGGCTCAGCGGCCATGGCTCACGGGCCTAGCCGCTCCGCGGCATGTGGGATCTTCCCGGACCGGGGCACGAACCTGTGTCCCCTGCATCGGCAGGCGGACTCTCAACCACTGCGCCACCAGGGAAGCCCAGGAATTGAATTTTGAATTTTGTTTTTTAGTTTAAATTTTTAAATGTAAATAGCCACAGTATTGGATGATGCAGGTCTATGGGAGAAAGTCCTGAAAATAGAAAAGATAAATCAAAAAACAAAAAAAAACAAAAGATCCCTTGTTCATCCCTCTGCAGCTCTCCAGCTTCTGAAAGTTGGCCAGCCCCAGGATTCAGCCCTGGCGCCTCCCTGCTTCTATTTCTCATAATTCATGGCTTTAAATACCACGTATGCGTTGGCAGTTCCCAAACTGACACGCCCAGCGCAGACCTCTCCCCTGAACTCTGGACTTGCACGTTCAAGGCCAGTTCTTAACATCTCCACCTGGAAGTCTCATACTCCTGCGTAGCATGGGTCCGCCCACCCCCACCAAAATCTGCTCTCCTCCCCACCTTCCCCGTCTCAGTAAACAGCAGCTCCAGTGGTTCAGGCCAGCAGATTTGGAGCCCTCTTCTCTCCCCACTGCCCACACCAGATTCACCAGCAAATCCTGGGACACTGCCTTCAGAAGATAACCAGAGTTCAACCACTCCTCCCACCCCCAGGCCCTGGTCCACCAGCAGCTCTTGCCCGGGGGACTGACACAGCTTCCAGACTCGGCTCCCTGATTCTGCCCTGGCTCCCCTTCAGCCTTCTTTCCACACAGCAGCCGAAACAATCCTTTTAAAACATAAGTCAGCTCAGGTCACACATCTGCTCAAAATCCTGCTATGGCTCCCGTCTCATTCGGGGCCCAAACCAGAGGCCTTTAAATGGCCGAGGAGCCCCTACCTGAGTTGGCCCAGCTGTTTGACCAGCACCCTGCTACTCGGCCCCCCACCAGGCCGTGTGGTTACGCTGCCCTCTTCCCTTCCCTGCAGGCAGCAGGCCACCCCTCTGCAGCCTCCACATCTGCTGTCTCTCCTGCCCAGAAAGCTCTTCCCTCCGTTATCAACGTGCTTGGCATCCTCACCTCTTTCAGGTCTTGATTCAAATGTCACCTTCTCAGAAAGTCCTTCCCTGACCCCTTTTCTAAAACTGCAAACTATAGAGGGTTCCCTGGAGGTCCAGTGGTTAGGATTCCGAGCTTTCACTGCAAAGGACTCAGGTTCAATCCCTGGTCAGGGAATTAGGATCTTGCAAGCCGTGTGGTGCGGCCAAAAATAAAAATAATAATTAAATAAAATTACAAACTACACCTTCCTCCCCCACTTGGGAGACCAATGACTTGGCCCTGCCTTCTCTTTCTCCAGAGCACCCATCACCAGTACCCATCATGTCACCACATAGCGCAGTATACTTTGCGTCTTTGTTTATTGTCTGACTTTCCCCACCAGAATGCAACTCCCTAAGGATGGACATTGTTTTGAGATCAAAATAGTTGAGGGCTTCCCTGGTGGCGCAGTGGTTGAGAGTCCGCCTGCCGGTGCAGGGGACATGGGTTCGTGCCCCGGTCAAGGAGGATCCCACATGCCACAGAGCGGCTGGGCCCGTGAGCCATGGCCGCTGAGCCTGCGCATCTGGAGCCTGTGCTCCGCAATGGGAGAGGCCACAACAGTGACAGGCCCGCGTACCGCAAAAAAATAAAAAGTTTAAACTCCCTGCTTTCATTAGTTATACACTCTGGTAGAAAGATGGTAATGGCAAGCAAATGTGCTAGGCTGATAATAGCTTCAAAGATATCCAGGTCCTAATCCCTGAAACCTTGTAAATATTACCGTTATTAGTCTGCTCAGGCTGTCATAGCAAATTGCCACAGGTTGGGTGGCAGAAATTTATTTTCTCACAGTTCTGGAGGCTGGAAGTCCAAGATCAAGGTGTCCACAGGGTTGGTTTCTCCTGAGGGCTCTCTCCTTGGCATGTAGGTGGCTGTCTTATCCCTGTGTCCTCA